AAGCTTAGATTTTTAATTTTTTCCGTGTGATAATTAAAAAAATTTTTTGAATTATTAAATTTGCATAGTAAAAATTTTATCAAACTTCTCCATAAAAATTATTATTTAAAATGCACAGAAATTATTTGTAATTAAAAAAATTTTTCTGAAAATCAAAATGCTCCAAAATAATCGATAATTTTTAAAATTCTTCATAAAATTCTATGCTTAATTTTTAATTTTTTTACAATCTCAAAATTTCCTCTAAAAATTCCCCATTCAATCAAAATGCCTCATAATTTTCTTTTAAACTCAAAATTCTCCATAAAAATGCCCTTAAAAATTATTAGTTAAAATTCGCTAAAATTTTTTGTAATTTAAAAATAATTTTTCTTAAAATCAAAATATTCCAAAATAACCCATAAAATTCCATGCTTAATTTTTAAATTTTTAATATCAAAATTTCCTCTAAAAATTCCATAATTTAAAAAAAAATTCTCCTTAATTTTTTAGCTTATTAATTTTGCATAGTAAAAATTTTTATCAAAATTCTCCATAATTTTCAAAAATTCTAAGCTTAATTTTTAAATTTTTTACATCAAAATTTCCTCTAAAAATTCCATAATTAAAAAAAAAATACTCCTTAATTTTTTAGCTTATTAAGGTTGTACGGACACTAATGCACTTTTGAAGATCAGAAGCTAATTTTTTGATATGTTATGAATTGCTATCTCATACGTCTAAATTAATTTTTTGGAATAGATCTGTCGAAGGGTTATCCTTTAATAAATTATTAAAAAATTGAAATTTAACATGTAGCCTATATAGAGACTATTGGCGGATTGCACATATATCGATTTATGTGACTGCCTCATAGGAAGATTAAAAAACAAAAAACTTCTATTTCAGTCAATCAACTTTCGTAGAATACGTTAAAAATAAAATGAAAATTCACGAAAATTTCAGGCCGACATATTTAAAAATAAACAAACCACGTGATTCAGCGCAGTGTGGCAACGTTGCACAGAATAGAACGCGCGAATTTTGAATTTTAGTAATTCCTGTGTATTTTTATGGGTTATGTTTTTCAACTCAATACTACACATAACAGTGAGATAAATATAAACAGCTGTTAAGTGTGCGGTGTTGTCAGGTTGTCAGGTCCAAGTTTTGTGAAAAAATACTTGAGTCAAACGTTGACTATTTATTGTTTTTGTTAATTAAATTATTAAATTATTTTATTTAATAATAATATAAGGTAACGATTAAATTATAGTAATGAATTTTCGTATTCAAATTTTTAATTTTAATGAAAAAAAAATTTAGATTCTACTATGACTTACGGGGTACTGTCCGTGCAACCTTAATTTTGCAGTAAAAATTTTTCTCAAAATTCTCGACAAAAATTTCCCATAATTTTCAAAAATTCTAAGCATAATTTAAAAATTTTTTTACAATCTCAAAATTTCCTCCAAAAATTCCCTATTAATCAAAGCCTCATAATAATTAAAAAAAACCTCAAAACTCCACAAAATAAAATCCCTACCCCTCCTCCCGCCGAAAAACTAAACAAAATAAAATCCCCCCAGCAACCGCGACTCGTAACACACGACATAAAAAAATCCGGCTCCAAGCAGTCTCGATCTATCCGTTGGAAATATTCTCCCAGACACAGCGTCGCCCCTTAATTCCCAGTAAAAAACACGCTTGCGATGCAAGATGGCCGCCGGCGCTTGATCCCCCACTCTACCTAGCGCTCGTCAGTTGTTTTACGGAGTAGAGGGGAAGAGCGCCTACTAGTCTGGCATCTTATAGTCATGCGCTCAGACCCTCGGTAGCAGTAGAAGGGAACGTACGTACGTGGTCTCGAGTAAGAGTCTCATTCAAGTGTCCGGAGGGGGGAGTTATTTTGTTAAAAGTTCAGTTACGGCATCTAAAAGGAACTCAGTGCAATGTTACGCGTTAGTTAATAAGCCTCAATAATATTTTGTTCCATTAATATTTCTTAAAATTTTTTTTATTTTTTTTTTTTTCTGCCCCCCAAGTTAAAAAATGGCACACGGTGTGGTAAAAGGTGAAAATTCCCAACCGGAAAAAGTGATCCAAAAAAAGACAGTAGTAACGGGAAGCAGAAGAATATTCCCCGCATCATTTAAAATAAAAGTATTGGACTCTTATCGTAATGACACAGATTGTTTGGGTAATCAGCGTGCTACAGCTCGAAAATACGGAATTCATCGACGGCAAATCCAAAAATGGTTGCAGTGCGAGCAAGATTTACGCAACAGTTGTGCTAACTCTAATTCTAATTCTAATTCTAGTGGAAGTAAGCCTGGAATGGATCTAATGGTAAGAATCCAAGAAATTCCAAGACTTAATTCAGTTAATGACGACCCTAAGTATTGTAATTGGAATTACGAGAATTATCGAAGTGACCCGAGTGTTTATAGTGGCTACTCACCAGATAATGAGAGAGTTAGTCCAGATTCTACTAGCACAATTGGATCTGAAAGGGAGGATTGTTCCAGTGAGTGCAAAAAAAATGGATTTGGGTCTATTAGAAATCTTCTTGGGTCAGATGATAGCAATTCACCCAAACCTGCTGATTGTTTAGTTAGAAATAATAATGGGTCAGATTTGGTTAAATCTAATGAGAATTATGGGTCTGCAGATTCTTCGAAGAATTTAATAAAATCTAATGAAAATTCCAATGAATCTATAAATAGAATTGAATCTAGAATATTAACAAAACCTAATGAGAATTTAATTGATAATAGGATACCCAGTAATGGAATATCTAGCCAAGAATATCCAATAATTGGCACTATTCCTAATAAAATTGTAGTAAATAATGGATTGACCCCAGATTATTACAGATATCCTACAAGCACTCTAGATTACAATTACAATATAATCCGCCCGAATTCTGGAAGCCCAATAGCCTCGAATTCGGTTAAAAAAATAATGGGCCTAGATTCGAATCTAACTGGGGAATTAGGATCAGAATTGGACTCCTATTCAGACTCTGGTTCGCACAGCCAATCAGACAGCGACGACCAATTGGACTCTTCAGTGAAAATCCGGAGCCACGATATCACCCGAAGAAGATCCTTTCCTTTGGCATTCAAGCTCCAGGTATTGGACAATTTTCACAAGAACGACGGGAATCAAAGAGCAACTGCGAGACGGTTTAGGATAAATAGACGGCAGGTCCAAAAGTGGCTGGCTCAGGAAAAGGAGCTGAGAGAAGAGGTGAAATTACGTCGTGGAGAGTCAAGACAGAGATTGACTACTGCGGAACCGAGTCCTGGACCGGTTGATCTTAGAACTTACGGGTTCGCGTATCAAGACCGGCCGCTTTGTCTGGTTGTGCCGAAGAACAACCCGAAGCCTAAAAAGGACTACATTACCTTCAAGCCTTATCTGGACAATCCCGTTGTCAAGCCCGATGAGCAACGGAATGACAACACCTGCTACTGCTTTCCAGTTCCTACTTGGGGATACTACCAGCACAGTCCAAGTGCCTTCGTTAGGTACCCTGTGCCCTATTTTTGAGTTTTAAGGAAGTTTCTTTAGTCCTGTAGGTTTTTTTAAAGAAAAAGTGGGATAGTTGAGTTGGAAATTGCGAGAGCTTTCCAATGAGTATCTACAAGCCCTACTTTGGTTTTATGTGATCCGCATGTGATCATATGTGACGCGTATGAGTCATATGTGATCATATGTGATCACATATGACTTCATATGACCAAAAGGGGGCTTGTGGGTACTCGTTGGAAAGCTCTCGCAATTTCTGAGCCAACTAGACACTTTTTAAAGCCATAAAATAATTACACGGAAAATAATTACAAAATTTAATTTTCTTTGCTTTTTTAAAATTAACTTCTGTAATTATTTTCTGCGGCTCAATTTCTGCTTCCATTAATGTAAATGTTGTAAATGTTCTGTTAATTTATATTATAACTTTAATGTGCCTTTTATTGAATAATTAAACTAATTGACAAACAATGCCTCAGGACACAAAATAGATAAAAATATCCGTGCCTTTTAAATGCGTCAAAAGACATTTTATTACATTGTTATTTATTAAAATTCGTTCTTACTTGTGTGGTCATTGAACCGGAATTTTTTTTAACAATGTAGACGTTGTTCAAAATTTTTGGAAAAATTGGCTGGATTTCCAATTTTGTAGAAAATTTTTTTAAGAACAAAAAAAGAACAAATTTTACTAGAGTCTAATTAGGTTATTTTGATTTTATAAATTTATATTTAATTATTATTATTATTATTATTATTATTATACGTGCCTTGAAATATAAATAATTATTTTAAGATTGAAACTTGTCAAATTCATATATATATATATATATATAAGTATATATTATTATATACATAAATTATATCGAGATGATATATTATAATTATTAATGATAAATATTTACATATGTATTATGTATCTGTATAGAAAGTATATATTTTATGATGTAAAAAGAAAAAATAATTTCTTATTAAATTTTTTGAAAAAATTGTTCTGTTTTTCTTTTTTTTTTTTTTTTAGTATAATTAATATAATTTTATTTTAATTATAAGTTATTTATATTAAGATGAAGGTAAGTAATTTTTTTAATGGGTTTTTTTTGTGATTATTAATTACGGTTATTTTTTTCTAATTAGAAAATTTTATAAATATTTTAAAATTGGAAATTTTGTAATAAAAATTTTTTTTTAATCAAATTTTTTTAAGATTTTTAGAAGAAAAATTTTAAGTGCAAAAATTGCAATTAAAATAATTTTTTTAATTTCAAAATTAATTTTTTTTTTAATTTTTAATTTTTTTATTTTAATTTTATAAAAAAAAATTTAATTTAATTTATTATTTCTTTTTTAATTTTTTTTTATTATTTATTTTAATTTTAGTGATAATTAATAATTAAAAATTTTTATTGATAAAATTGTTGTTATAAAAAAAAAAAGAAAAAAAATTAATTTTTATGTTGCAGACTTAAGATAAAAATTACAAATAAATGCAACAAAATTACCTTCCTCCAGATCACGATGATTTTTTAACACCTGAGCAAATAAAATTACGGTATCAAGATACTTCATTAATTATTTTTAAAGTAAGTAAAAAAAAAAAATAAAATTTACTTTTGAAAATTTTTTTTAATTATTTAACAAAAAAAAAAAATTTTTTTTCCGTTCCAGGAACAGAGGAACAGGAACAATAATTATCTGAGTTTTGGTACCAGTCGCCGGACAATTGAGTACAGTAATTTTGGAAATGATCCTGTAATTATTAAGCCGAAGATAATTAATACAGACAAAGATGGTAATTTACGAAATCGAACGAAACAAAGTAATATTTGTTCGATTAATTAATTACTTAATTATTTAATTACTCTGTAAATATAAAATATAAAAATGAATTATTGAAATTAATTAAACATTAATTTCTGATTAAATTATCATAATATACAATTAAATAAAATTCAAATTGCGCGCGCTTTAATTCTTTTAAAGGGCATGCTTACTCGCCATGTTTTTTAAGCGGCAATTTAAAAATTAAAAAAATTTGTTTTTTAGTTTCTAAAAGCGGTAAAAAAATTTTTTTAATTAAAAATTTATTAAAAAAAAATTCTGCAAGCGAGAAGAAAAAGCGCCAAGACGCCACCTGGCGGTGACTTTATAAAGTAAGTAAAAATTGATTTTTTTAATTGTTGATAGAAATAATAATAATAAAAACTTCAAAAAAAATTTCTACAAGCGAAAAGAAAAAGCACCAAGGTACCACCTAATGATGACTTTAAAAATTAAGTTAAAATTGATTTTTAAAATTTTTAATAGAAATAATAATAATAATAATAATAATAATAATAATAACAATGACTCATTAAATTTTACTTAAGTTGACCTCTATTATATAAATTGGGAAATTTTTACTTACAAATTAAAAGGACTTAAATGACTATATAAATATCAGGGAAATTCCATAAGTAAAATCTATGAATACAAATTCTATTGTTTCGGTCAGTCTAGACATATGAAATTGAGACTAATTGTTATTCAATATAATATATCAATTCACATAAATATATGGTAATTAGGAAAATAACCATATCGAAAAATATAGAATAGTCCAGACAGATTTATAAATTTACGATGCATTATTTATTATTGTTTACAGAGATAAAAACCCTGAAGAAGTTTATTGTCCAAGAAGTACCCTTATAATTAACCAAAGAATCACGTATACCTGGGAGGTATAGCACAAGGATGATATAGCAGAAATTTATTCAAATATTATAAATAGTAAGTTGCTTTCAAAATTAAAATCTAGAAAAATTTTAATATAAATATATTATTTTGCAATAGGATAAAGGGCCCAGTTTCTGACACTCTAAGAGTGAAGGCCCGCATGGAGAAATATATATGTCAAAAATATATGTCGCATATATAATATATATGCCGCATATATTTACGCAAAAAAAAAATATGTCAACATATATTTTTCACATAGATGCTGACATATATATGCAGAGATACATGCTTATATATATGTAGACATATATGTAAGCATGCACTGAAAAAAAAATTTCTAAGTTTGAGAATTTTTTTACTCAAATCAAAAAAGTTAAATTTTTCAAAATTATTTTCTTGATTCAAGTTACATTTTTTTCTGTGTATCTCTAGACACTTATATGTCTGCATATATCTGAACATATATGCAGACATATATTTAGCGCAAAAAAAATATATGTGAAAATATATATTTGCATATATTTTTCGCATATATATTTTTCCATGTGGGGGCAGAGGTTATAACACTATAATTATTAATTACAATAATTAATTGGAGTAAATAATTTTTGCATGATAAAAAAATTTAGAATTTCTTGAAAAGATTATCAACGCGAAAGAATTATATCGGACCATTTTATAATTTAAATTAATGTTTTAAACAGTAACTGTAGGACCTAGTTTCTGACACTCTAAATTTCTTGTGTTGTAGTTTCTGACACTGACGTCGGCCTAGATTCTGACGCTCATTTATAAAAATTATTCATTATTGGTTAGGTTAACATTATTTAATTAAAATAAAAAAATGTGGAAAACGGTTGACCCTAAAGGCCATCCCTGCAACTTCCCGCCAATTCTGTACCTAAGCGCTTAATTCAACATATTACAATGTTTTTGAGCTCTTCGAGTCCAAAAGTCTGATGAAGGTTTGATAAAACACTATTTTTTGAATTTTCAAACAGCTATTATATAACTTTTGAATGGATCAACTGATTTTCACGGCGTTGGCGGCAATCGACGTAGTTTTTAGAGCTTTAATAATAATACTATTTCATCAAAAACGATTCGAAATGAAATGTCGGAACTGTGTTAGAAAAACACTTGTTCCCAAACATTTCGTCAATAATATCTTTCAAACCAATCAATCGATTTTCACGTTTTTGGTAGCGATCGATGCGGATTTTTGAGTTTTAATGATTATTCTATTTTATCAAAAATGATCCGAAAAGAAATGTCGGAGTTATATTATTAAAAAAATGATTTTTTGGAAATTTTTTGTTCACGATATCTGTCAAACGAATCAACCGATTTTAATTGATTTGGCGGCGATTGACGTGTTTTTATATTGTCTAGAGCTGATTTTTTTTGGAATCAATCGTTAAAGCCGTTTGAAAGCTCTCCAAAAAAAAACCACATTTGAAAAAATTTTTTTTCTTAATTTTTTTAAGATTTCTCAAAATCTACTGATTCGAATCGGTTCAAATTATACTTGAAATTTAAGTTTGGCCAAGCCGAAATGACTTTCAAATGGCACTAACCGCGATAAAATTGGATGAGCCGTTCAAAAGTTATCCATACTTAAATTAAGCGCTTAAAATTGCACCAATGACGTTTTTGAGCTTTTCGAGCTCAAAAATACAATTTATGAGTTATTTTGAGCTCTTCGAGCTCAAAGAGATTGCTTTCTTATGGTTTTGAGCTATTTGAGGTCAAAAGTCTGATAGAGATTTGATAAGACACTATTTTTTGAATTTCTAAATCGCAATAATTTTTAAATGAATTAATCGATATCCACGTGGTTAGCAGCATCTGATACAGCTATTCAAACCTTACAAAGAATCTCAAATTTTGAATTGATTCCACGAGGAATTTCGGATTTATTCCGAAAAAACATTTTTTTCGGTTTTCTTTCGTTCACGATATCTTTTGAATGAATTAACTGATTTTGACCGGACTGGTGTTAATCGACGTAGTTTTTTGAAGTTAAAAGCTAAATAGTTTTTGAAGTTGAACTATCAATCCGTTTAAAAGTTATTCCAAAAAAAAAACACATTTGAAAAAATTTTTTTATTTAATTTTTTGGAGATTTCTCAAAATCTATTGATCTGAATCGGTCAAAATAGTTTTCGAAATATTTAATCAGAATTAAGAGGATGTAGGATCATAATAAAACGCTAAGAAACTTTATTATTTAGCAACGTTTCGTGCACTTTATTTGCATGCTAATTCTATTACTGACGCAATAAGATAGGTCAACATTTCATTTATAAATTCGATTAATATTAAATTATTAATCCTATTTAAACCGTTATATATTGTTTTAACGAATGGAATTTTATTTATGTTATTGTAATTGATCTTTCTGTATGTTTAAAATTTAACGGGTTGAGTTTTTTAAATTTACTAAACTATATAAAAATATATAAGTATTATTTATACTAAAATTACCGTCTCACATATCGCAAGAGTCACATGCTTCGCAAGTCGACAATAATCAATATTTTAAATTTTTTTTTTTTTTTTTTTTTTTTT